CAGAGAAAACTAAGTCTGCAGAGAAAACTACGTCTGCAGAGAAAACTAAGTCCACAAAGAAAACTGCGAATGGAAAATCTCATAAGAAGGTAAACTTTTTTTTCTTGCTCTCTTCGCAGTGCTCAGGCCCAGCTGTGGCTATCACATTTAGTCTGACCCCAATTTATACGATCTCATTGGAAGTTCAGTGTCATGTCGACCGAGGGAGGGATTGTGATGGTCATGTGACTCTTGCCCCGTCTGGAATTAGCATGCTAAATACCAAGGTGAACATTCCAGCCTGTGCTACACAGTGACCCCGGCTCAGTAGCTGTACTGTGTGCAACAGCTTGTCCTAGTACATCACCTCCATGCTATTTGAACCCCACAACATTGGCCAAGTATGTTTACATACATGCCAAAACTCATACCAGTGGAAGTGATGCCAGAGAAGTGTCTTATTTACTATCTTTAAATGAATTGGATGTGTAGCAAAGTTATTTTGCTTATGAAAATTCTTTGAAAAGACAAAGGCTGAAGTCTTCAAATTGCTTTGTTTTGTCCTACCAGCAGTCAAATCTACAGTGGCATCAAACGGGGCCAATCAGGAAATCATCACATTGGCAAAGCTGGAAGCTAAATGTTTTTCATTTTCGCCTGATAGATTGGCAATCAAAATGCTCTATTGATTGCTTAATACAATGACTACTGTGTTTTCTTCCTCCGATAAATTAGAGAACTGTGCCGAAGTTTGGATTTGTTCACTGGCGTTCAGATTGTAATCAAGGACCTTAGATAAAGAACGTTTTTCCGTACTTCATTAATCAACACGTTCCATTATTCAGAGTGGTACCAGTGTATGGGCTTTCAAAACGCTTTGTATTTGTCTATTTTAGTGCGTTACTGTGCATAGCGTCATGGGCCAGCTGTGTGACTGTCCTTGCTGCACAGTTATGCTGCGCTGAGCTTTAATGTGTGTCCTATCCTTCAGGTCAAGACGCCGAAGACAGAGAGCGTGGAGGCAGCCAGCAGCGCCAGGTAGGGATGAAGTCCTAATGCCGCTAGATTGTATACTGTTAACGGCTGAGAAAATAAGCTGACAAGCTTCAATGGAACAAACTGTGCTTGAAATGTTCTTTTTTTTCCCCCTGTTTTTTCCTCTTTCTTCCCTCCCTCCTGAGGTGATGGAAATTAATCCTTGTGTTTTGATGTTCAAGGGCCCAGGACGCAAGCATTCCCCGTTCATACAATGTGTTCAGCTGTCTCACAGAAAATTAATTTTAGTCTGCATTGAAGACAAATATCTGTAGCTTGTCAGGAGAGTAATAAATGAGAATGCATGGTTTGAGTAGTTGGATGCTCAGCAGGGTGTTGCCAGAATGGCAGACTGTGGCCGAAGGCCTGCTGCGTCAAATCTGTCTCACAGCGGTGTTTCTATATAGCTGATAATGGATTATTTTCCAGATGTGGATTTAGCCCGACCCAACGTGATGAGTGACATTTTAAAGGAGGCGTTGGTTGGAAAACTATTTTGCTAAATTCTAGCTTTTAATGTTTCCCTGTAGTGTTTTTTCCCCTTCAGAAAGGCTCAGGTGGTAACTGTGCTAGTTGAGTGGGTTTCACGCAGGGAGGAAAGTTAAGGCCTCGCAGCAGAGTTACGGAAGAAACATAAGGCTATTAGAACCACAGACCGTAAATGTCAATGGACGCAGTGACCCACCCTCCTTTGTATAGCTTTTTATGGATTTTGCTCAGCGGTGCAGTATACCAAAAAACACGGCAGGTTCTAGCAGCTCTCCCTTTTCCTCGCTCGCATGGCCTCAGCGTACACTCAGATTTGCAAAATTAACTAAAGAAGGAACGAGGTTAGAAAAACGCTTCTGCTACATGTCCAGCTGTTAGTGGAGCTAAAACGAGCCTTCACTCACGAGGAGTTTGCCTCCTGCAAAGGTTACGAACACTGATGTGTCAGTAATGTCCTTAAGAATGGTGATGATGGTGACGGCTGTAGGCAAGCAGTTGGGTTTCTGCATTCACTTGTCTCATTAAAAATCCTGCTGTCTGTGATGCACAAGCTCCATGTAAAGCCTTATGCCTGTTAATGTAGTCAGTGGCTGTACTTGGCCCTCGTCGTCCTGATGCTGTCAAGTAAAAAGACAATAACGCACGAGTAGTTTTGTACGACTGTAACAGGAACAGGACTTCTCCTGTCAGCATAATGTCTTCATGAAGTATTTATGACTTCCTGAACTGCTCCTGTTAAAACACAGACATGACACAAGGCTCAGGTGGTTGTATTTATACTGCAACTTTCTGGATAAATGCAAAAGGTCAAAAAATAATTAGAATGACGGTGTGATGTTTGATGGAAGATATTGTAGCGCGTAAAGGTCAGTGATGACATGAAAAGATGTCACCTTGTCTTGTTTTCTACTAACCTACAGGTGAACAACTACACTGCAAGGAGGTTCTGTCGGGCCGCCGCTACAGCTCAACTGGTTGAGCTGGCGACCCGCGTACAGGGGCTATAGGGTCATGGGTTCGAGTCCCGCTCATGGCCCTTTGCTGCAATTCCTTCCCCCATTCTCCTCCCCCACTTCTCTCGACTGTCCTACACAATAAAGGCAAAAAGGCCAAAAAAAATAACTCAGGTTCTGTTATTATGTAGGATAAAGTTGCAGCTGCTTTCTATGAAAACACTGACAACAGGACTTTGAGTAGACATTTGATCTCGAGGGGAAAAGGATCAGTGTTAATAGCATTAACCACGGCACTGTTTAAACGACTGCAGACGGGACCAGAATCCTAAAACTGAAGCAGCGTTATGTATTCATGTGCTGCTACTAGGACTCGGAAAATACTATAGGTTTTATAAAACACGCCTTTTACGAAGCAATGTGTCTTTTATTATATTTGAAGAACGAGGTGGTTTCAGTCAGTTCAAACTGTGTTTTCTTAAGCTGTTGAACAAAGATCTCATCATCTTTGTTTTATGCCTGAACGAATGCATGTTTGCAATAAAGATGACACGGAGTCACAGACCGGAGAACCTTAGAGAAGCCTCATTACCTTCAATCTGATGCCGGCAGGGGTCACACCGTTGAAGAGCAAAGACACCGCGTCAGGCTCATAAACATAACAAACACACACCGGCTAGATGCTACTGTGGCGGCTTGTAATTGGCATTCAGTCGGCCAATTTGACAATTATGTGCTACAGTGCTTTATATTCTCCCCCCTTACCTAAATATAATGTGAAGGGAAGAAGAACACTGCTATTTATTAGCACTGGCGACTCTAATTTGATGATTTCTTAATTTGGGCCACTTCCCGACCCATCAGTCTTCGCTCTGCAGGGAAATACACGCGTGCAGTTTTGTAATTATTTTTGTATTTCCAACTGCTGTAATTATGTCATTATTATTACCGTTTCGATAATGCTGCTTAATTACTACAATTATGTGTGATTTCTTGTGGTCAATGAGTCATCATTGTGTGCCTAAAGATTTTTTTTATTATTTTTTTTTCCTGTTCCACATGGAAGAATAATTTTAGCCTTCCTCCGTGCCCAGCAGTGTGGCGAGCTGCAGTGAAAAAGGAGCCATTAAGCTTTTATTCCGCCTTGTTATTAGCTTTTTAAGCAAGGGCTAATTTAAAATCAACAGCTCCGGTCAGATTTCCATTTAAGAAAATACAGAACACTTAATAAGATTTTAGAAATGTGTTTGTTCAGGTCTTACACTGTTGAAACAGGGTCCCGATGGAATCAAATAAAATGGAATTGAAAACATTGCTTACCTTTTGTAAATTGGATTTTAAGAGGGTTGCTTGTTGTTTTACTATAAGCTCCAGATTGGAACTTAGGTTGTGCGAGAATCTTTAAGTAACTGAGCTTATACTTTGGCAGAAATGCAGAGTGTTTAAAGAATACTCTTCTCTCTTATTGTTGTGGTGTAGCGAGCCGGTGAAGCAAGAGCCACCGGATGATGACGACTTTACAACAAAGAAGAAAGGGTTGAAAAGGAAAAGAATTAAAGACGAGCCCGTGGAAGGCATCTCACAGTCTCCTGCTTCACCTACGTAAGTCTGACAGTCAGCAGCGATACTTTGGCTTACAAAACACACAAATACTGATGCATAAATGGTACTTAACGAACTTCCAACCTTCATTGTTTCCATATTGTGTAAGCCATTTGTCTTCTTTCTGTCTCGCAGCTTAAAGAAAGAAAACAAGGAACATGGCCACGAAGGAGGAAGCGACGAAGACGCTCCGAAAAAGAAGTCAAAGAAGAGAACAGAGAAGGTAAACATCTGTCTCCGTCGCCAGCACTCTTGTCGTATGAAGTAGTTTTGCTGGAAATGCGCTTCGCGGTGGGAGTCTAAGTGTTTTTCTCTGCTCAGACGGTAAAGAAAGAAGAAGGAGAGCATCCGGTGGCGAAAAAACCGAAGAGGACAAAGGAGGAGATCGAGGAAGCAAGACAGTTAAAGATCAAAAAGAAGGAGGAGGAGGAGCAGAACCGCTGGAGATGGTTGGGAAAAGCAGCATTTTGATTTATTTTTTTTCATCTTGCTTTGACCTGGACCCACCTCACACACACACACACACACACACACAAACACACAAACACACACACGTACATACACAAAACTCCACGGGGTAAGAGGAGAGGAGCAATTTCCACTCGCTGAAATACTTCCTCATTTTTTCATCATCTTGCTTTTTTTTGTCAGGTGGGAGGAGGAGAAGTATGAAGATGGGGTGAAATGGAAGTTCTTGGAACACAATGGGCCCTACTTCCCTCCTGAGTACCAGCCGCTACCTGACAATGTTCTCTTCTACTATAATGGTCAGTTGAGCATTGAAGTAGTGTGGTGGTGTAAGAAAGGGTAATTGAAACAGGGTAGAAAAGGGGTTTTACATGAGCGGCTTTTGACAGTGCCCACACATTTTCTCTTTATGCAAGTCATTCGAAATAATGTCAGCACCTCACCGGTACTGTGACCATTTTTTAACAAATTCAGACATTTCATGCACTGCAGGTTGTATTTTACTTTACTGTGTACTTGCACTCGGCCAGTCATTAATAAGTGCGTCTGCAGCTACACGTGGACGAGAACATCACAGCCTCCAGTTCGCCGTCTTCACCTCTTTAACTCTCACACTGACAAATAAACTCCACCTTAATCTAAATGGTAATACTCGGTACAATCTGAGCCACACACGAGTTCGTTTTTGAAAGCCAAATTTAGACGTCCGCGCCTGTAATTTCAGTCCAATCCATCTCTTGTCAAATGCAACACTCTAATTGAAGTATTACGCGGTCCAGATTATGAGAGAGGCTGTCAAAGAAAAACGTCTCTTCAGGAGCCTTTTGAAAGAAGATAGATTTCTCAAGTCTGAGCTCCTCGTGACAGTCATGCCACGGCCAAGGTGCAGTGAAAATCTCAAGCTCTGTCCCCTTTAGTCCTTGAAGTGACACTGCTCTGCAGAGGCATGCAGGCCCCTCTGGCCTGGTTCTGCAGGAGAGCAGTCATCGCAGTTGACTTTAAAAATGCACTGAAGGTAGAAGTGTTAAATTACATGACTCTCCCTCGGCGGTGACACAGTTCTGACCCTTCTGAACATCTCTAGGAACACTAGATAACAGGCAAGTAACGCTGGAACATTGCAACAAAAGCCTTTTCTTTAGCTTTGTGTTGGCATATTGTAGAGATGCACATTTCCTTTATCTTAGAAATTAAAGCCCGACAGAGGGAGGGCTGTGGAGGAGGAGGAGGAGAAAGTTGTGTATAAAACAAGAGTTCATTGAAGTGAATGTATGGATCCGGGAACACTGGTGTGCAGGCGCTCTGACTCAGTTGCTCTCACACACACACACACACACACACACACACACATAGAAGACATACCCACGCACAATTGGATCTTTAGGATGCCAGACATGCATTGGGTCAAACACTGATTGATGACTGTAATTGTTTTTGCTTTGTTTAGCAGTCAAGCCACAATGGTGTCCTATGGGAAGTGGATTTGATCTATTAATTCCTGTGCGTGCATGTTCTTGTTTTTGTAGCTTAGCAGTGGGCCTGAATGTAGATCTCTGTCCTTGTCTCTGAACCTACCTTTGTGAGAGAATGGATTAGTCTGTCAGCCCTCCAGAGGAGCTGAGGTGGGCGGTATTGCGTGTTGGTTTTTGATCCAACTCGGAGCTTCTGACAGATTGTGTGTGTGTTGAACAGAGGAGCTTGATAAGCACGTATGACAGTAAGGCCACAAAGCATTTACAAAGCCTAAGTTGATTGGGATTGTGTTTTCAGAACAACGTTTATGGTTTGTGTCCAGGTAAGAAGGTGAAGCTGAGCCCCACAGCAGAGGAAGTGGCGCTGTTCTTCGCCCAGATGTTGGACCACGAGTACACCACGAAGAAGGTGTTCCGGGAGAACTTCTTCAAAGATTGGAGGAAGGTAAAGCCCAAAGACGACATGCAAGTTACCTGCAGGTGTGGTTGTTAATTTAGCTCCAAAAACTTTGTCTTGACACAACATCCAAGTTCAGTACGAGTTGTCTGGTTTCCAGCTTTGTGTTGGAATGTGTTGTAAACAGTGGAGTGAGTGTGTGAGTGTGACTGGTACATGCTCGCTGGTGTCTGTCAGGGTGTCCTCTGTATGGAGAAAACACCGTGCCAAGCCCTAAGGCATATCATGCAGAATTAATTTTGCGCTGCTTAGTGCTCAATGCACTTGAAAATACGATTTATGTGAAGGCATTGATATGCTAATCCAGACAACTAGCTCCCCTGCATATGAACAAATCCAATTAAACTGTTTTATTATAGCCGGAAAAAACTCTCCTCGCTCCACTGCCCTCAGTGCCCGCCCACTGTCGGATGTCATTCATGCTTAGACACGCAGACTGGCTGCTTGTCCACACTGTCGGCGTTTCTGGAGAGGTGTGTGTGAGTGTGTGTGTGTTTTGTGCTTATCTGGAGGTCTGTTTTTGCATCTCATCTCCTATGACCACAGATAACAAAACTGGGCGAGATCATTAATGCTTGATGGATGAGAGTCATTTCCTCCGTTCGTAATGTTTATGTTCTGGATGGATGCGCTTTCATTTGTCAAATACTTAACCATTTTATGTCTTTCTTGTATTAGGAGCTGTGTTTTCATATTACAACTATAAGGGTTACTGCGATGTTTTTGATGACGATAAGATCCAGATACCCGAGTCATTACAAGCCGTGGTCGTTGTTTACTGTTTTGTTCTGGTCCTCGAGGCCAGTATGATGTGAAAAATAGGCGGTTTTTGCTCCACACAGGCCGACAGTCCTTTAAATGTCGGCCTCTGCTTCCTGCATCAGTGGCTTTCTGTCCAGACAGCAAGAGGCGATATATTAAAAGCCACTCATTTTAGAAACTTCAGAGAAAAAGTCACCGCTGAGTCGCTCTGTGTTGCTGCCCTGTTAGTGACCTCTTTGATTCGGCGACCTCTTGTGCAATAACTTAGAAAGCTGACAATTATAGTTTAGAAACCAAGCTGCTGCTGCTCTCAGTGTGCCGGCGTGTCAGGACCGTTTAGCTCGCTTGGAAGTGACTCTCTAACAGTTAGTGTGCTGATGCCAAGTTGTGTTTGGTCTCTGGATCTATAGTTCTGTTGTGTTGATTAATCACTAATCTATATTGTGCCTGTTAAGGTGATGGCGTTCTAGTATTCAGTTTTTTCTGTCTTCATTTGGACTCACACACGACAGTAACAGAGAAAGCCAAGGTTTGCACGCAATGTTTGTTCACTTGTTTGGACAGTCTGACTAATGAGGATTGCCGTTGTGGAAAAGTTAACGAGCTGCTCATTCAGACGTTAAGCTGATATTTTTAGATGCCGTCGGATGTGAGGCTACAGAGAATTGGGGAGTCAAAAATCTACTTTTTCTGCATTTTGCATAAACAGACTTTGTATAGAGTAGTAAATAGCTTTCAGCTGTGTTTCAGGATGCCTGCGATTGGCTTTCTCTGCGTCAGAGGGCACCGAGCCTCTCTCAACTCCCCCTCCAAGTTTTGTCTGTCGAGCTCAGCGGGCGCCGGGCCGCCAAGCCTCGTCTCATTCACGACGAACAGCAGTCGTACCTGTCGCTGCTTTTTGAGTTTGCAGGCGTGAATGGCTTGTTTGGAAAAGAACGGTCTGCACTCTGGCCTTTAATAACAACACCGCTTTGTGTTTCTCCTTGTTCGCACGCGTCGCCGCCGTAAAGACGAGTAATTAAAGAAAAAGGTCACTGATCTTGTTTTGATCACGCTCGTCTGATTTGTTTTTTATGATACATTATTGCTTTAATGTGTTATTGGAACAAAGGTTCTGCGCTCTGTTTTCGTAGCTCCCAGCGAATTCAATAAAGCAGTGTTGTGTGCAGATGGTTCGTTTGTTCCTCGAGTTTTTTATCCAGCTTGAAAGAGGTGTTGTGCAGACTTTGTGTTGTCAGTATTAAGATTTTGGTTCCATCAGTGTTTCCCAATGTTTTAACACTCTCAGTACTTAATGGTGGATGAAGACGTACGTCATCATTAATGCAGTTTATTCCAGCTAGCATAGAGGTGTTCTGTCCTTCTGTAATATTTGGGCTCCAGCTAACAGCTATTTCATTACAGAATAATCATATTTTTCTTTTTTTTTTTGCCTTAAATGTCCAAAAATTGTGGATAATGCACACTGCAATTTCCCAGAGGCATTTAGATTTTTGTTTGATCAGTGGCTGGAAAGAATATCTGATTAGCTCTTATTTTGTTTCCCCTTTTTTTTTTTTCGTTAAAGGAGAAAAACTGAGTTGAGACGAGACCATGTTTTTGTGTAACTCGCTTTGTGCATGTTTAGGAGATGACCGACGAGGAGCGGACGCTGATTCGAGATCTGGAAAAGTGTGACTTCGGAGAAATGCATGCCATGCATAAAGCCAAGGTGGAGGCCAGAAAAAACACGACCAAGGAGGAGAAGCAGGTACAACTTCTGTGCCTTCGTTGTTGTTTTGGTGTCTCAAGGAGGTCAATGTACCTTTTTGAGGATTTGGATAAGTCATTATTTGTATTTTTCATATTTGTTGTAGGCTTTAAAAGAGGCCAACGAGAAGATAGTGGATGAATACGGTTACTGTCTGCTGGACCACCACAAAGAACGCATCGGAAACTTCAAGATTGAGCCTCCAGGTCTGTTCAGAGGTAGAGGCGAGCATCCCAAACAGGGCATGCTGAAGAAAAGGATCCAACCAGAGGAGGTCATCATCAACTGCAGCAAGTGAGAGTGGGGTTCATACAGCAGGGTGCACTAAAGCTCTATCACTCTAGCTGCTAAAAAACACATCTTAAAGGTGTGACCTTGTGGCTGGGTGTAAAGCAGAGAATTAC